ATTAAAAGCATGCAAATATAATGGGTAATAATAATATGACATTTGTTTAAAATATCCATACTAGACATAGAAGTTAATATGCAATTTAAAATATTATATGTATACACAATATATATACTATATATACATAAAATCTAAATACTACATTTAGTTTTATAGGATTTTATAAAGCACAACGTGTTTAATATTATTCTTTATTCTATTATTATTCTATTATTTTATTCTATTATTCTTTAAACTATGTATATGTTAAAAATAATATAAGCAGAAATTATTTGTTTCAAGTCACAAATAAAAATGTCATCTTTTTCCTAAAATTAACACAATTTTGTTTTTTCTTTTAATATATTGCTTCCATATAGTCTAAAGTATCGAATTTGTATATAACTATTGAATAAATAGTTTAATAAATAAAGTAAAAATTATTGCAGATATCAGCTTGATTGAATCGAATCAACGGTTTCACATTACTTTACTTACATATTTTTTGTCTAAAATATAAAGTAAAGCAGTATTTTATTTTTATAAGTCAAAGTTTTTCGAAGAGGAGGAGTTTTTTGCATTAGAAAGCGATGTAAAAATTTTAAAAAAGATTTAAATCTAAAAAATTTATAAATTTGAACAATTTAAAGTAGTTATACAAATTTTTTATGTTACGCAAATTTGTACAAATATGTGTACAAATATAAAGCTTGAAGTTTGATGTTTAAATTTGTTTTTTCAAATTTAATATTGCTTTATTGAGCAAAGACATCTTCGAGAAATATCCAATTGTAAAGATAAACTTAAGATTATTTTTTAAAACAATTTCAACAGAATTGTTGTACAACTTTCTTCATAAACTTATAACTAGTCAAAGATCGACCATTCATAAGCATAACGTTGAAAATTTATACACAAATACACGAAAATAAATGCTTCTTTTTAATTATATTTTTTATGAATGGATTTTGTTAAGAATAATGTCATTCTATTGTTATGTTTTATGTTTTCTCTTACTCTAGATCCATTTTTGTTTTTCTCTCTAGTTATGCTGTCAGATATAGAGAAAGAAAACTGCGTGCAAGTATGTAAAAGTATTTTATAAGTTTGATTTAAATATACTTATTTTACTCAAGCACTATACATACAATTTGTTTAACTGCATCGTAAAGAAATAATCCTCATATATATTTAAGAAATTATAGGCCTAAAATTGCAATAATTAAGTGAGACAATTGGTTTTAAAGCAGGTTATATTTTTTTTTTGTATTATTGCTGGCTTGTTTTAAAAATGGCCCATAATAAAAATAACAGTTATAACATTGATCCATTAAGGCAGCGCTCGGAATTAGTTGCACATTTCGAGCCAATTTAAGAGACGACGCCTCCTATTCCCCCACTACCGCCCGGCCGCTGGCGGTCGAGCCGCCGATAGCTCTGGCGCAGGAGCGTTTTATATAAGAAATAGGCTCGGTTGTTTTGAGGCACCTCTCAAAAAATAATAATATTTTCTTTGCTACATAAATAATGTTTATTTTCATTAATAATTAAATATATATATTATGTATTAATGAAAATAAACATTATTTATGTAGTGAAGAAAATGTTACGATTTCCTGAGAGATGCCTAAACAATCCAGCCTATTTCTAATATAAAACGCTCTTGAACCAGAGCTATCGGCGGCTCGGCCGCCAGCGGCCGGCCGGTAGTGGGGGGACAGGAGGCGTCGTCTCCAGAATCGGCCCGAAATGTGCAACTAATTCCGAGCGCTGCTCTATATCTTGTATTTTAGTGAAGCAAATATCAATCTTTAGATATGTCATCTATTATGTATAATAATCAGGTATAGTGAGAAATTTATTTCTGTACTTTGTCTGAATATTCGCAGGTCAAAATGTTTTTTGTATAAATTAAAATAAATAAATTTATCGATAAAGCATTTTCTATTTTAACATACTACACGCTTTTACTTATAGATTTTGTGATAGTACGATATACACATGCTCTTTTGCATTTATCGTTGCAGGAACGGTAGTAAGGTAAATAAAATATTTTCACAGAGAATGTAAGGGCTTTTATAAAAAGAACTTGATTACATAACATTTAACAAATGCGAATCACACAGAACATCATGTTTTATATGAGAGAAAAATTGCAAAGTATTAAACAACACATTAATCTGAAACAACATACATTATTACGCGGCATCGTCGATCACGCTCACAATGGAAAGCTGATTAAATATATGATCAAATCTCATCAGAACTGTTACACATCTCTCGTTTGGAGTCATCAGAAAACTTATAATCACAGCTAAAAATAGACGCCCCTTTTCACACTGTAGAAGCGAAAGGAAAGTGTGTACCAATCGAACTTGATTATCGTTCAGCGGAGAGAACTTATGTTAGTGCTAATTTTTAATATCATAATATACAAATGAGCGGGCGTAAATGTTTTCCTTGGAATAGCTCTGCAATCAATGTGTTCTTTTTTTTTTCTTGTTGCCTATATCCTACGTATGTATACCACTCTTAGTGTCAGTTACATGCTATTTAGTTTTACATAATGCTAATTAATATCATTTATATGTAAATATAATTACGTTATTATATAATATACTTTTCACATAACTGTACACATTCACATCTCGGAATATTGGCGCTCACCTAGGGGGCGCAAGTCGTTTGAGTGGCAGTGAACTTATTTTACAAATCGTTATTGTAATCACTTACTTTGCTGGACTGTTCGAAATTTCGCGTGCTTTTTTTCTTTTCTTTTATTTTATTTATTTTTTTTCGTTTCTTTTAAGGCTCTATGAACGTTGTAATACTCAATGAGTTTAATATTGTGTCATTGACTCGAAACCATTGCGATGCGATCATTGCTTATTTTCTTATCAAAGTCGTGGTGAGTGCGAAATACATTATTAGGTCTTCGCGATTTTTAAGGTAGCCATTTTCAATAATATATGTATATATGTATATGTTATTACAATTTTTTTTAGAAACGAATTATTTGTTATAGTATTATACGTGGGTCAATTACAGATAAGTGAATTCTTTTTTACATAAGGGGTTATGAAGGGCTGACTCCCGCTGACGCTCTCTCGAAGTAATACGCTCTACGTGCAATGCGCGCAGAGGGGAAACACAGCCTTTCGTAACTCACTTACAGATCTCAGTAAGAGAACTCTGATTTTATATACGGCACACTGTATCTCGAGGATAGAAATTGCCGCGCGTGTGATATTCCTTTTTTTTTTTTTTCTTCTTTTGGTGCCAATCATCTGTCTTTCGTGAACACATATCGCAGCATGCCTTTTCTCGGTAAGGTGGTGATTGAAAGAAGGTTTCGCAGGTTGTCGCAGCACGATGAAGTCGGATAGTTTTACAGCTACAATAATACCGAACGCGCGTTCGCAACTTTTTTTTTTTACTGCGGCGTAACGCAAGATACACGTCGAGTATCTTTTCGGACTCAACGCGTCTAGTTTGAGTCAAAATAATCGGACGTACATCCGTCTCTCGATGGTTACCGCGTTCGTTAGATTTTGTTATAAGCTTGTAATGATTTCAAAATGGAGATATATTGGCGATACTCGGTCCGCGATATAATTATTATACAATCATTGCACAGGTGTGAAAGAGAGAGAGAGAGAGAGAAAGAGAGAGAGAGTTTATTCGCCCGTTTTGGTGAAGTTTCCAATTATATTAATTAGCTTGTTACGCCGTGCTACTATCATCTAGTAGCTATATATAGTTTCTATATGTATATATACGCCTATCCTATAGTTATCGATAATTAATATAGTATTCTGGATTCTCTGATAATACTCATAATGCAAGGAGATCTACTTTAGCATAGATTTTTTTCAGTTCAATATAGCTTTTATTGCCTTTCTCACTGATTCTGTATGTTTTGGACAGCTTATAATTAAAAACTTCCTTGGTTACTCATTCGAATGATATACGACGCGTTTCGCACGTGATTTCCATTTGGATACTTCTTTCTCAGTGTGTTCAGTGTTATCCTCTCTATTCTAAATATTATATTGCGTTTACGTCGCGATATTCGAAACAGCGTGCCGATTCAAGTCGCGTTCACCGTGCAAAATAGAGCTGCTTTGAAAGAAATAGCCAGAAATTCATCCCGTACAGTTATGGGACTAACTTTCAAAATTATAGATTAATAGAAGCATTTTTGACATTCTTTTTTTTTACTGTTAACACATTAGTTTAATCTTTATAGATTTTGACGAAATAAAATTTAGCAAAATAAATCAAATAATTGTTATAAAAGAAATATTATATCTTACTTTTGCTGAAAGAGTTAATTTTAATGTTAATGAATCATTCGAGTTATTGTAGAAGAATGAAATGAATAGAATAGAGTAGAAAGAAATTCAAAGATGTCAAGCGTTACTTAGTGATTTTGAAGTGATTAAAGTTTCGTAATACTACAAGATAAATGTTCATCGATTCCTTTCAATTTTTTGTTACAGCGTGGTCCGATCGAGACACAGGCTGAATTTCATCGAGTCATATTTATGAACGTTTGGATACATGGATTCATTCGTCATTGTCAGAAGAGCGAGAGGGGTAAGTCGTCTTTGCACAATACTCATGGATCCATACCGATCCAACGATTTACGAGTCTACGAATTCATCAGATCGCGCCCGCGCGTTTCGCCCGAGCTTTTTTTTTTCATGTAGCAGACATGAGTGCAACGTAAAAACGACAAACGATAGAACGATAGCCACAAATGCAATTACCGCCAATTTCGTCGATTCGTGTTATTGCGAAAGAGAATGGGTTTCTCAAAAGAGTGTCACGATGCTCGATTAGTATTTCGATCGAAATATTTAGAATCTAAAACGGCTCTGAATCGATGGAGATATATACTCGTCCACGTTTGTCACTCGTCGATAATGCTACTTTAGCGAGAAACGGAGTACGCTATTTCCGGTTATATAGGATTATTATACACTTGCTGGTTCAGCGACGTCTCTCTCAAGTACGGTAGAAGTATACAAGTATATACACGTATGTACAGTACGTTAGGGAGGGATTATCGTCTCCCTCGGAGTCCCGAAATATCGAATCGCGTGCACTTCCGTTAAAAAGATCGATAACAGGGAGGGAAGAAAGATCAATGGCGGAGTAAGAAAAGGCATGCCTCTGCGCAGACAGGCTGCTGTTATTGATTTCGCGATTCGGCCGAGGTGGTGCCGATTCCCGTCGCGGTGAACGCACCGACAATCGTCGAGTCGACTGAGAAGCAATAATTCAGGATCGAAATAAAACTCTCTTGATAAAGAACCAATTTTGGAGATTAGAAATTTATAATTTTGCAAAATAAATGTTTTTGAATTTTATTTTTTGTTTCTTTTGCAAAATTATGTTCTCCAGTTTAGACCTTTTAGGTTTATATACTCCGATCGGCGGAGAAATATATTGCAGAAGTATCCGAGGCGTGAGTAATTATATTAGGAATCGACACATTCATTCGACCGAAACGAAAAATGTGCTGTAGTGTACCCTGCGTTTTATAAGATAAAATATGGTTGATTGGTTCGTGAATATACTGCGGTCGAGAGGCACCGTATGAGTTCGACGTGATCGCGTACGTCGTTAATTCGCGGCTAATCGAAAGATAAGCTAATCTCGTGTGATTCTTTTTTTTAACATTAATTTAATGCAATTGGTCGATGCCCAATTTGAGATCTTTGATACGAGAGTCGCTATGATACTTGTTCGTTAACGCACTGTTACACACCGCGACTTATAAAGGCAGGTATTCCTTTTCCTGTCTCCTGATTCCGAAAAATTCAACCAAAAATCGCTAGCCTCGCCTCAAAATTGTACCTTCGAAAATGGGTGAAGTAAAAGGAACTGGCATTTCTGTAATTTCCATTCCTTTTAACTCTCCAATTTTTCATAGGGATTAAAATGCTCTAAGCGACAAATTTTTCTATCATTTCATCCTCTCACTTTTAAACACTTCGAATCATTGTAATCCTCATTTATTCAGAAAGCAATCGAGACTATCCCTTTCGCGAAGTGAACGAATTCGGCAAGCAGCGTACACTCGCTCTCGATAATTCCGGGATCGAACGCCGGAAGTGACGAAAAGAAAATATCACAGTGTCTCGAGGGCAGTTCGTAATCTTTTGAATTTGTTTTGCGGGTTGCAATGGCAGTCGCGCGCACAGTACACCCTTTATCCCATTCGTCGTCCCGTCGTCGCGGAAGTAACAGCGCACGGCCTAATAATACACAACACGGTGCGATGAATCGTACAGAGGACAGTGTGATACAAAAACGACACGTAGTCCCGACATGAGTCCTAGAAAATCAATGATATAAAAGTGAAGTTATATATAGATACACGTTCGCCCCCGTCCGTGAACGAAGAGGGGGGGGGGGAGTTTGCGACGCGGGGAGGGTTTCGGACGAAGAGCATCCCCCTTTCGCGAGCTTGTCGCCCCCGCTGTCGCGTCTGCCGATTCACGTTTCGATATCCTTCGATGTCGCACGAAGTCCGAGTTACTCGTAGTACGTGGCAATTCTCGTATGTTCCCCTTTTCCAAGCATACATCTAGGCACAAATCACTTTCGCAACATTTCGATTAATCTATCTCGATCGCGTGCTCGTCTCATCGTCCTTTCGTCAACGCGCGCGCGCGCGCGCGCGCACGGTGTCTCCTGCCGTCTGAGGAAGAGCGGAAAGCGCTCCACTGCGCTCTTGCCAGGGGGATCGTGCCGCCTCTGCTTCAACATCAACTCGACATCTTTCGAAATCAGCCCGCTAAGCGACCGAGCGCTGATTCAGGCGTATTCTCTCGTAACGTATTTATTTTATTTTCGAAACATTTCGCGACCTCCTGAATTAATTTATCGTCGCTGAGCACCATTGCGAGGCACGTAAGCTCGATCGGAATAATTTCAATGCGCGGTAAACGAAACACTAGAATATTTGTTGAACGACGATGAAAGTGATAGCTACATAGCTTCAATAGATATCGCGAAACGATTAAGAGAAACAGCGTTCCGTCTCAGTTGTATCATTTGGAAAAAAATATCGCGTTGTTACATTTCAGCGTTCGAGTACACGCTCATTCGGCAATCACTCCGATCGACCCCCTGTGCCCTTCGCCGAGCCTGACTTAGCTCACGCAGAGATAGACAGAGAGACGCGATCGACCAACCAAGGGACGCTCGTTCCCGCATCGCTGAAAATATGCCGATCAAAAGATCTCTCGCGACGTTCCGCCTCGCGAATTGCAGTCGTTCGATCGCGATCGACGATCGCGTCGACACCCGCGGCCGCCCCGCTGCGGTTCTCTCGCTCAGTGCTCGTTGTACATCATTATCTCGCTCGTCGTCGTCGTCGTCGTCGTCGTCTCGAAGTTCTCGGTCGCGCTCCAGCCGAGACTGGTCGCGCGGCGCAGGCTGTTCCGCAGAAAGGCCGCGCACGCCTTGCTGCTCTCGGTGATGATCTCGTAAAGCTGCGTCTCCAGGCTGAGGCTGCTGGTGGTGAGCAGCAGCGGTAACGGTATCGGCGCGTTCATGATCACTAGGTTACCGATATTAAGAGGAGCTGTTTCCCATTGTCAGACACCGCTGTTCGGAAAGCGTGGCGGGGGAAGCGGGGGCGGTGGTCTCTCCGGCTGAGCGGGAGCGACGGAAGAGCGCTCGGATCCAGCTGCAAACACAACTGTGGGGTGCACGTTAGTCTCGCGTATACGCGACACTTCCTCCACGCGCGCGTACGGCCGCGCTGCGTGAAATATGTATATAAATGCTCGTCTACTACTTTCCGGACACATCTCACGCTCTAAAGTGTATAGATATATAATATATATATATATATGTATATGTATTTCATAAGACAGCAAGCAAGCTTCTACTGTTCCCTCGGTCGTCGTTTCAGCCTTCCCTGGTCGGAATTAATTCGTTGTGACAGACTTCAACGATACGATAATCTCTTTTGTCGAAAATACTCTCTCGAAAACACGAACACAGCACGTCACAGCTGGGAAATGTGATTATTCGCCCTCGCGTTCAGCAATTATTCTCAAAATTAAACACGATGTACCTAATAAGCTCCTTCTTTGTAGCCACTATTCTCAAATCTCAGAGCTAATCTCATGCAATTTAAGCGTATTTATAAAAACTGGCCAGAAAGAAGGTCACTCGCGTTCAGATAATTAATATTTATCTATACGGAGAGTTAGATACATGTATAATCAGTGTTTAAGGAGATAAGAGAGCAACGCGCGTCTCTGCCACTTGCGAAACAATTATTACCGCTCGTCCACTGCGGAATATCTTCAAGTAAAACTTTTCACATGTTAAACACGATTTATAGAATTATCAATATAAAATAGCAATATCGTTATTTATATTGTCTGTCCAGAACTCGTATCTGAACATTCTGATAAAAAACTATCAATTTGTTATACCGAAAGCATTTGACATACTCATTTGTACATTAGTAAGAATATATTCGTGCCCTTCTCTTCTTTACGGATATGTCAATTACAATTATTAATTATATCATTAACGTTTTCAAAGCCAAACGTCCGAGATTGGAAACTTTCACGGGAGATAAAATTGCTCTTTGATCCTACGCACTAGAGATTACATTCATGCGCTCATGCCTGTTACATTATTCATGCTGCAAAAGTTGTTTGTACAGCATCGTACTAAAATTAACAACAACGCCAAGTATACAATTATGTACAATTGGCCTAAGAATTCGTCAACATTAACGAAACAAGTGTCCTCGCACCGGGATTGCCTTCAACTTCACAGATGCTATATCGGTACAGTATGTATCAACGTAGAGTTTCACATTGGCCTGCCTCCCTTTAAACTACTACAAAGGCCAGTGTCGATAGCGCATAATATACGTATATGTACGATATAATATTCGTAGAAACAAAGCAGTATTTGAATATCTACCAACTTCTCGTTTCGTGAAATTACATAGCATAATTAAGTTCAAAGTGTAGATACGATATAAGATGGAAAACTGTCATATGTTGCACAGAGATGACGATAAGTAGACGTTATGTAATATATAGATATATATAGAGCTTATTATTCTGAAGCATATTGTTTGTAGTTTATTACAGGATGTCGCGCGAGAAGGATATTGCCAAGAAATTGTTGCTCTCTGAAGGCAATGTTTTGAGATGCTCGACCATTCGATTTTATAACGTAATTTCGCTGCACAGCTTGTCTCTGGGATGCATCTTCAATACATGACTACTTGATGTATATATATATATATACATTGTCAGAAAAATAAGCTCTATTGGTGAGCGGAAACTCCAAAAATCCAGCGAGTCTCCGGTGTATGTCATAAGAGTGCCTAACCCAAGCAGTGTGAGAAACAAAGGAAGCCAAAAAGTAGAACTACCAGATTAACGTTGAACGTAAATCATTACGTAAAGTGAAAACAAAAATTCGTGAATGAGCGAGGGAGAGTATCTCTTTTGGATTTAACTCGAAATTTAATCTTTCTCGCAGACGGACGAGAGCTTAAAAAGTAATCGATAACTGTGTGCAATTATTCTAATGAATGAATGAATGAATGAATGAATGAATGAATGAATGAATGAATGAATGAATGAATGAATGAATGAATAATTATAAATAGACTGAAATTTCTAACTTTTCGATATAGCACTACTTCGACATTAATGTAACTCCGTCGTAATTTTGCTGTTGTGAACGCAAAAAGGTAACTAAAGATGAATAATGTTCTCGCTATGACCACTCGTGTGTGTCTTGTCGTAGCGTGAAGCGGCACAATGTATACTTTGACAGTCGTATAACCAGCACTTTGACGCTTCTGCACTTTTGAATTATACTGAAAGCAGAAAAGAAACGTTCGCAAATAAATTCAAAACAGATGTTCCACAATGAAACTACAAATCAGGAAAACTTACGAACATACATATACGGCATTATGACATGCAGAATGATGGGTATGCGCATAAAGCGACACACGGCAAACAATTCCTGTATATTTGATAATCTGCTGCATTAATATTTTTTTCATATATTAGTTATTAATATTTGTATAATCTTTCGCTTAGAACAGAGTGCTCAATCTTAGTTTGTTGTACATACATTTTGATTTTACAATGCTCTTTCGAAAATGGAACTAACGGAAAAAATATGGTAGAAATTTGATGCATGATAAGGTGTGATCAGGCGTGAAAAGAAATTGTCAAAAAATATCTTAAACATGATAATATGAATTGCGGAACGACAGCATGATATAAAATAAAGAATTTGCAAATTTATGAAAGTTCCAAGCAGTGAAAAGAAAACTGCTCCAGAAAGTTTAACATCGAGTTGAGTTTGGTAGGATCAGGTAGTGCGTATGAGATACGTGATACATCGATTTCGCATAATTACCAAGATATTGTCGATGAAAAAGAGGTGCAACAATCTATTTGTCGGCGAGATAAAGAGATCGAGCTCGCCGAGAACACCTGATCACCCCTAATCATCGCAACGGACCGGGAGACAAGCATCCCACCTCGATCGTTATTTTGCAGCTGCGCTTAAAGAATTGTTTGTCTTGGACAGGGGTGACAGGGGGTTACAAATTATCGTGTGGATGATGTTGCTCAGGTTTTTTTTAAGCCTTACATGAATCAGGATGTGGCTTCTCCTCTGCCACCATCAGGGCTGCGCTCTCTGCTGGCGGTATGTGTCCCTCTAATGCATTCACACAGTTTAGCATGCTCCTGTAAAACATCACGCGACTTGTCCAAGTTTTCACTTCTTCAAAATCATATTTCAGGTTGATTCTTTGTTATTTTTTTTTTTTTTTTGTTTGGCTTTTGTTTTTCCGCATTACACAAATCTTCGTCCGGAGCACCGATTCGGCATGCACCGTGTTTTGCAGCATACACGTACAAAATACACCACGAATTTACGACTTAATCTCATCATTCGTCATTATTCGTGTTCCTAATTTAGTTCCTAATTAATCGCTTTCACTCGGATTCGATGAATCACGAGTCTTTTGGAGCCAGCTATACCGTTATTACGATTTCACTATGAACTCGTCAAAATTATCATTATACTGCAACATGATCGGCTGAACTTATAAATTTGATGATATGCTTTTGAACAATGACTGATGATTGAATGTAAGGAAAAACACAGCTAGAATATGCAAGGTGAACATAAAATGCAAAATTTACAGAAGGAAGAAAATGTCGGCCCGTTTTTCGCTGAACGCGCGTTCTACATGATGGGATGATAAATGGAATAAAAACGATGCTCCTAACGCATCTGAGATGATGATTCAGCTAGTTATTTGAATTCGGCCCTAAGTTATTCAACGCTTCCGTTACGGATCAACGGATGTATATAAAATTAATGACATTTGACTCCTTTTACCATCTGTTACGATTCATGTATTCATTACTTATAAATCCATCAAGGCGTGGACTCGGAGATCCGTAAATCCACAACTGGATGGATTCACGGATCTTGAGACGAATGACTCCACGAATCCGTGCGTGTGACTCACGGATCCATGGATGCACAGTTGTACTCGTGCGGCACGTATTATACTTGACAATATATATGTATATATATATAATGATTCATTTCACAGTTTCTAATCTTGTACTATTACAGCGTTTCACTGGCCTGTGTAGTAGAATTTATATGTATATGTATACTTACTAAAAGAATCAAACATTTTATTCAGTAGCCTGTGGCAAATTACACCTAAGAATTTATAGAGAAACAATGTCCTGCCAAAAGGTGAAAGAAATTTGACAAACCAAATTATAAAACACATACATAAGTATCTCGGTGCAGAAAGGATATGATTTCTCGTGGAGTGGCCGCTTAAACTGCGATTTCGCTTTGCGTTGCTACTCGAACGAGAAATCACGAGTTCGAGCCTGCCGGTCCATCCTGCGCAGGACACGGTGCACATAACTCAAGAAAGTGGAAGAAAAAAAAACTCAATCCGGGTAATTAAATAAACAAACAGATTTATTTTACAACACAGAACGCCTTATTCGGTGATGCCGAAATATTCGTATTATACTAATGAATCTCGAGGTCGAATCGTAGTGTATGTCGATTACACAGTATCGATTAACAGTTTCACGCTATAATAGACTTACTAAATTTCTGTTATATTGGTAACAATGTATAGATTAATAATAATTCCTGGCGCCAGGTGATCTACGATATTGTTTTGTTCTTTTAATGAATGAAGGACAAAATCGATTGCTGATTAGAACTCTAGTTCTCAATGTTTAGATTTATCGGTAGCGTGGGTATGGTTGACAGTGGTGGCGTCTGATAGGACGGTCTCCTTGCTAGAGTTAGTGGCGAGCTCCTCTTCCCTGTAAGACAACAACGTTTACATGGCCATCGAGCCTCGAATCGTTTTTGGTTTCCGAAAAATCCTATCTTCGCGCGGATATACTTGCACGTATCACAAGCTTGTTCTCTAAAACGTGTATACGCATAATGCATCCTACGTGGACGAATAAAAGAAAAAGAAAGTTTCCTCTCTAATATATTCTCCGACGCAACATCGATGACTCGTATATGTCGAACTACCGCAGCTATAGTCACTAATCGACTGGCGTAGCTAAAAAACGTACTGTACTTTCCGATAATCAAAATCAGTAGTCACAAACTTTGTAAGGATAAAGTGACACACAAGATAAATGATGTGTGATCTATATCTAACATGGCTCCTAATTAGAACGTGACGTAATAGATATAAACTACTCTTTTCAAATTTAGTTTGACACTAAATCCCGACTTGACACTAATATCCCGGTTTTGCAGTGAACTGTAATAAATAAATTTTGATAGCAAAAGTTTAATTTTATTTCAGCGCTGCTTTGAAATTTTTTTCAACGAAAAAGTTTTACAGATCGGTCGTATATCGAGGTCGGATCGCGCAAACTGTGATCGATTATATTTCCTTTCATCGCTTATGCTACAAATAGAAGTATATAGTAGTAAGAAAAATCAAGTGACTAATACAAGACCAGAGTTAAACCACATTGTCGATACAAGTCAACATAAACATTGGCTTTAACACAAGCTGCAGAGCGATCATTTTGTTAGTATGTTATTCATTAAGCAAACAAGATTGCAGGCAAATGAGTAAGTTCATAAAACACATTTAGTATTTGTATCTCGAACTCTCCATCACCAATATCTTAGCGAATGCTTTCCTACGGTCAATACAAACGAGAAAGCCCAAGTGCATCACCTCCGATCCTTATTAATTACCATCCGATTATAAACACAGAGATATTTCTTAATCAGTCTGTCTCGGAACAAACAAATTCAAGAAACTTTTGCTAAACCATAAGCAACGTGTAACCAGCTACCACTTTATCCCTAACGAGAATAGAATTCTTCGAATGTTTCGGCAAAACCTTGGTCAAAAGAAATCGTGAAGGAAGAAAAAAGAAACTGGAAGATAAAACAAAAAAAAGAATACACTTTGTAAGTTAGCAAGTTTGTCGACAGCTACACTGTGTTCAAATAAGGAAAATTTATCGATCCTCGCAAAAATGAACGAAACACAGACCACATAGATAAATTATCGCTTGCGGCTTTTTACACGAACGACGAACGGCGATTATAAAACGATGCAAAAAGCGGCAGTCTCTGCCGCGTCCGCTCGTCGATCACAAAAACACATCTGACATCGTGTCTCTCGACACAATTCAGGAATCAACTTTGATACGCCAAACAGTAACGTAAGCACTAACATGCAGTCGCACAGTTACAGCGCCATAAACTCGTGCCAACTATCGACATAAAAAACTGTTCCAAGACTCTGCCTGTCGCCGAAACATTTACTGGGCATTGTATATGTAGGTACTAAAAGGAGCATGCTGTAAAATACAAGGCTCCAGGAGGAAGTCAAGTGATCGGGGCTGTTATGTAGATGATCTTTCACCGCGACGAGTGTTTTCGCAGAAGCAAAAGTTTCCTCTTGTTTTCGAATTCGAACAGTGAAGCACGGCGAAGTGCGAGAACACGCGATTGACGCGGTTGTAAACACGACAATTTATTCGAGGCGAAAAAAAAAAAGAAGAACGGTTTTCAAATGGCAGTGATAGACTGCGGAATTATGCGTTACCGCTGGAGCTATCGCAGACCGCGATGGATGTACATCGGCATTACATAATAGCCCTGACGAACTTTTAGAAACTGTGAAATGTATCTTCACAAAAGAAAAACGAACAATTTATATATGATAACAACTGTCCATGCAGCTATGTATATCTGTCTCTTTTAGTCAGCCTGACTGATTACGCAATGAAATGGAGTACGCACATGAGCTGATAGTAAGTAAAGATGTTTTGACATGCCAGGCCTTTCGACCAAAGTTATCATAATCGCAGGGTTGGGATCGGGATTATTTTTTAAACAATCGATCACTCCCAATTAAGTATATCTTAAAAGTTGCATTTCTCTCTAAAAAAAAAAGCTACAATAATAAAGTTTATGTGATAAGAGAAAAATGTTTGTTTCAATGTTCGTTATGTATTTTTCATGAAAATATTTTGTGTAAGATGATTTTAAATCAATTTTTTTTGCACGAAAAATCATCTTATTTATTAGATAATTTAAAAACTATTTTTTTCGATATATAAAAAATAATCCCTTTTCTGGATATACATAATTAGTGGTGTCTTTGATCATTTATTTTCATGCAGTTAGGTAGTAATTGGCATGTTCGTTCATAATAAACTGTAACAAAGCCACCACAGTAACAGGAAATGTGTGTAGCAGGACTCACCCATAAAGTCTGCTGTCCCGCAAGCTGCTCCTGCTCCCAATAACACAGAAAGCACAGTTACGATATATCGAACACAGTCGTCGTCATCGTAGTAACGAAACACGGAAATCAACGAAAATCTTTACCCAGAGAACCATGAAATAATCAATTTATTGAAATGATACATGTGTACAGTAAGTTAAACAAATAAAATATATATCCATTTGGCCTTGAAAATATAACAGTAAGAAATCTCCAACTCTCGCGACTCGAATAAATAATGTGTCTCTTATAGATAACAATTATTCGAAAAAAATCGCAATTTCTTTAATAATTAATAAATGAAATAAGATTATTTATATCATCGATCAATTGTTACGCAACATAGAGCAGACACATTCTTACGATTTTTTCCCGAAAATTTAACAGAGTATTATCTAGGCTGTGAAAATCAAGAGCAAGATAGCTGATTTGTACTTTCACAATATTTCGTAGACGAGATGTTAAAATTGCGTTCTTTGGTTTACATTTTGAGATTCGAGAAGCTAATAACCTATAGATATTGTTCTTTCTTTTACGCTTTTCTCATACAATAATCTCATTACATGATTTGCAATGTATTGTGCACATTATTTCTTCTATTTGCAGTCGATTAGCATGTTATTCGCAAATGTATGTAAAAATGTATTTTCTTTGCAACAGCTTAATAAAAAAAAAATTCGAAATATCGAGATTCGCACTAAAAGGAAACCAAACGTGACGAAATTTTTGGGTAAAAATTACAACTACTTAAATATGTACAAATGTCCATGTATATAAATAAAACTTAATATCCTTCCCCTAAGAACGAAATTTTATCACAGTTCAACTCCTATTATTGCTTCGAACAAACAGCGATGCATGCAAAATTGCGTAGCATAATATACTACCCCGACGAGTATAATACAATAGAAAGAGAGAATCGTTGTAATAAATTATAAAACTGTCTCTTGAAGATTCGAGAAGTCCCGATTACAAAACAACGAGCAGCGTCGCTATCGAATGTAGAACGGACGGACAGTTGAATTGTTCGGACGGATGTGATATGTTGATAACAGTACATTATACGCCAAGTACGGTATATTTATATGAATATTTCTTCTAAGTCTCTAAATTCTTTTCCATGTGCATTTAATAGTTAATAAGTTGTGCGGCTATTTATCTGAAAATGTGTATTCGACTTTCTTATTTAATGTTAGCTTTGAAACGTATCGAGTCAAAAATGAACGGGATACATTAAAGGGAGTTGTTGCAAATTTAAGTTATACATATGTATATACATGTATCTATAATAAGGTTACCAGAGAGAAACTCCTTTTGAAAGAAACTAAAGAGGCGGATGCAGAATATTCAGCTATAGAACATTTGTGGTTCGTAGCTATTGTGGTACGTACTGGGGAAGGTAGTAAGTTGCTTATGTGCTGCATACCTGTCGTTACCATGCCTGAATAAAGCTAGAATCTCTTCGAATGTTTTATTCTTGGTCTCAGGAACCTTCTTGTAGGTGAAGATCCAGAAGATAGCTAGAAATGCACTGAACGGTAGGAACGTGTAGTTTTCAAGGCTAGTCTGTAACACACACAAACGCGCGCGTAGCAAGTTTGTATAAACTTGAATTTGCACCCAAGATATAACCGCGTTATTAAGTTAATAACACGGCAACGTAATAATAATACATAATATTCCAATTTTCTGCTTAACGATCTATTGTCTACCGTTTACGATCGTTCGCCTTAAAAGAAGATGAGAGAAAAAAGATTTAGTTGAAAAAAAAGAAGAGAAAAAACGAAAACGGAGCCGCTGTCGTCTTACCTTCATGCTTGGAAAACCGATGCCAACCAAAAAATTAGCCATCCAATTGACGAGAACCGCGATGGACATAGCAGCGGGTCTAGGGCCTTGCGAGAACAGTTCGGCCGTGATCATCCACGGTATTGATCCGGGACCCACGGCGAAGAACACGACGAAGCACAGGGTTGATACCACCGAGATATACGACATCCAGTCTATCATTTCCTGCACATAGCCGAAAAACTCCTATCAGGCAGTAGAATCATGTTCTTCTTTCCTGAGCAGCTGGAGGAGCCTCAGGAAAAAAACAAATCATACGGCAGACCAGAAACTCAATCGGAAAAACTCGGAAAACACATATCGAACGTATGCGTAATAACTGTAATACGGCATGCGGTGCGGAGCTCAATCCTGTGTAATGAAGGCGTTGGCGACAAAGTGATTGCGGCAACGTATCTCGTATAACGACAGTGCCTTGTTATTTACAATAGAATTCCTCGTTAAGCGGTAAAGCACGATACGCTGCTCTTCATGATAAGTGCCAGGATTTGCGTTGACCTCGATTAGAATAGATAATGCGATTAGTCGCACGAAACGTCCGTACGCAAGCAGTTACGAAGGGAGAAATTTTGTGTATAAATTTTCTCAAAACAATCCGCATGAAATAAATGAACCGCTCTTGTAAAGAATATGAGGTGCGAATTGTATACGAATTGGTGGCTGTTGTTGGTAATACGAGTAGTTGTTACTGAAGAACAAATTACTTCTCGTCAAACTCTGTAAAGTGTGAAAGCGTCGGTGCTAGACATTCAGCTGTTGAAAAATTATTGTATTTCATTCCTTAAGGGGAATAATTAATGAACACATTGTAAGAGATTATTCGTAAATACGTTAATTGTTGATGTAATGCGACATAGAGAGTGACAGGTTTGAGCCAAGTAGAACATAGGCTGATTAATAAACGGGAAGATAAATGTCTCCTCCAGACAGTCACGAAAGAGGTCGTCAGTGGTGAAGGAGGAAGGGAAGCGGGTCGTAAAAAGCAAAACTATTAGTAAGCCAACAAATAAAATGGCGTGCAATATACGATACATACGACACTGTGCGTCGGTTTTGTTTTTCACATTTTCTCTCGCGTTTTCAGCATCGATTACTACCATTTTTGCTGCGCGGAGATAATAAAACATAATTGTAAAAAATATTTTACGTGTCTTTAAAAATAATTTAGTGAAAAATTCTCGCGGTAAGACGGTGCCCATGTATCGAGATATAGAATTTCTACGAGGCAAATGAGAAGAATGACATGCGGGTAAAGGATGTGACTTATTAGCTACATGAATGGCGGGGAGAAATTAAAATGAGTTGACTTGGTGATGCAGATCCGTATAGATATAATAGTGAATTCTCACTGTCGGTGCAGTGCCGCACTCCAGCTGTGAACAAAGTGTTAAATACACCTTTTGCCAAGGTGCATAAAGTGTCAAAGCACAAATATGTAGCTATGTACAATTCAATCGTTGCAATATGATTTTTCTGATTGAAGCACAGAAAGTTACAATACGGAGACATATCAATAAATAAATCTGCTATCATCAATAGAGTATCGTAATAATATTTTTTTTCATTTAGTTTTATGTGAAATATGTTTTCAGTTTACCAAATACTATTATTTTCTATCACTTTAGAATTGCGTATATTAATATTTTATCAAGATAAAATTGGACGCGTAATGTTAATATTGACGAAACATTTTCGGAATTGATTATATTAAATTTGTGCAGCTGTTTTTAAAGCAATATTAAATGTATCGCAAACAGGCAACAGGAAAATTCCCAATTGTCTGCTGCAGCTTATCATTAACAAAAAACCGTGTCCACTCTGATAAAAACGTGCTAAAATTCCAACTCACCTTTATGAGAAACGAGATTGTGATGAATATTGAAAAGATAAACATGCCACCGAGACCATACAAGTGCAACGTACGCCTTCCTGTCCTATCCATCAGCGGGATAGACACTAGTGTCATACAAACCATGATGCAACCTATGCCAATGGTTGCAAACTTGGCACTCTCGTCCGTTAAACCAGAACTAGTGAACAGATTCGTGGAATAATAAAATACCTGAAAGACGCAATAAATTTGCATTCAGTTGTTCTATTCTGAAACTGCAACATTGATAACGAGAGAACACGTAGCTGTTCGACGAAATGAAGTTACTTACGGCATTAATACCCGAAAGCTGCTGCGAAAGTTGCATAACCACACCAATAACGAGAGGTGCTCTTAAAGTTGGGCTGCATATAAGCTCTGTCATCGAGATCGTAGACTCAGCTTGTTGAGCTCGTTCCTCCGCTCTCATCTCCTCAATGTCTTCTTCTACTTGGTTACTGGCTCTCAACCTTCTCAAAGCTTTTCGAGCCTCTTCCTCCCATTGTTTGGTAATGAGCAAATATCTAAAATCATTTTTCTATCATTGACCGCACTGCCGTTACAAAATGATCGTGTATTAAACGCAAGTAAAAGATTTAGTGCGAGAATAAAGCAAATCTTAAAATTTCGATTTATTTCTACGGCGAACTTTCTAATTAGACAATTGAAAGATTTCAAACCTGCTCGAGTCGAGAATAGAAATCCTTTCGATAATTCTGAATCATTCTCACCTTGGAGATTCCGGGCAAACTGGAAGCAGCAGTAGCTGTAGAATGGCAGGACAGATAGCTAGTCCTAAGAGAACGGGCCAACCCTCGTTTGTTCCAAGGATTTGCTCGATGCCCAGCACCTGGGAGACCAGGAGGCCCACCGTAACAGCGAGCTGGTTCACCGTGCCTAGGCCGCCTCTCAGGTTCAATGGCGCTATTTCCGATATGTACATGGGAACCAACGAGGTGTTCAAGCCACAATTGACACCGATGATGAACCGTCCAAAGAACAGCATCTCATAAGATTCAGCGAGCTTCGTAAAACCCATCAGGCACGCCCCCACGATGCCCAGCACGTTGTTTAGCAGTAAGCCTCCCTTTCTGCGGTTCAGAGCAGAAAGTCGAAAGAAGATTAATTCCCGTACCTTCCCGTTTTATCCGAGAATTATTATTCTTCAGGAAAATTTCCAATTTACGGATTCACGATATTTCGCGAAGTATCTATTTAGACTTTACATGGCAGATATAAGAATACAGACAGGATTTTCTGAAGATATTCAAATAAATGTTTACATGTATTCATTAGGAAATTACTAGGTGCGAAAAGATAGATTATAAACGAACTAAAGAAAGCGTGCGGGTGTTATAATTTGGAAAGCTCTGGCCTCTCATTAAAATCGAGAGGCTAATGAAACAGTGCTAAATCAGACACCAACCTGCCAAATCTGTTGGCGATGGTTCCTCCACTGAAACCACCTACCATACCACCGATCGCGAATATGCTCACGGCCACCGAATACAGTGTCTTAACAGAATCATCCGAAATGTCCTCCCCGTACCTATCCTTGTACACATCTTTCATAAAATTCTCTATGTTCTGCAAAAAGTTCGAGAACGATGAATTATATGCGTGTTTGCTTGCTAAAATTATTCGAAACATATAGTGTATATAAAACTATTATTTTATTTTATTTATTGCATGTATAACTGCAACCATCGTGTTTGTGTTAAGAGACGTACCACTTCAGGCGCGTTAATCACTCCGGTGTTGTATCCGAACTGCAACATACCCAATACGGCTGCCAGTATTGCATACGATAGGAAAAGCGTCAATCCCTGTAAGTATCCGGATATTTAATATTTTACGCTGCGCATAAAATGCAATTTCCAACGTGTGTATACACAACAACATCCAATGCAGCCATATGCGCAAAATGTGATAAGAGAAAAGGAAACGATATTAATGGAGTGCATTGTAAACGGGATACGAAAAAATAAAATAAAAATACAAGAACGTGGGATTGTTCTGTAACATTTATTATATTTTGTACACACATTTCCGATAAAAATCATACAATGCTGAAAAAATCGAAGTGCATGATAAAACATAATGATGTTTCATAACGCAGCAACTTAAATCTCGCATTTTCAAAGCCAAGACATAATGAAACGTGGTGTAAAAAAATCCATTACTGTTTTAAGTCAGAAATCACCTGCTCCAAAAGCCTAAGTTTCCGCCGATGAGAGTGCTCTTCCAGTCGATCCACGTATTCTCGTAACTCTTCAATCTCTTCTTTAACCTGCTGTACCGTATCTAGTTCGTGCTGCGTGTCAGCGAAAAAAATACTTGAGATACTTTCATACATATCAAGTGCGGGACTTACGTTATTAAGGGGAAACACCACGGTGACGGTTTCAAAAAATCGATTTTTTTTTTTGCATTTTTGTGATGTTTGGAGTCTTAAAAATATGTCCCTATAATATTATGGTGAAATTCATAACGGACTATAGTAAATATGTCATAGAGTAGAACTTGGTCAGATGCCGCTAGTAGAACCGGCCGCGCGCTACCTAAAAAGATTCGGCAGTCCCCTTGATATGTCTGTAGGGAGTTTTACCGGTATTCTTTTGTTGTCTACGTGCTTGAGTTCTATTGCTTCGAAGGCACTTCATATGCACCCGGATTGGACGCACTTTGGTTCGTTCAAAATTTTATCGTTTTATATGAACCAATTAGTTGTAAAACTTTAAACGCGTTTTTCTCGAAACCACGTTTTCGTAACTGGGCGCTCTCATATCTCAGCCAATTTTTATCCGAATAACTTAAAAGTTGGACAGAATGTTTACAACAAAATTGTCTTCAGTTGCACGTACGGATTTTTCAATCGGATTATTAGTTTTTGAAAAACAATTAAAGAAGTAACGAATTTTTGTTGAAAAATCGAAAACTTTTTTTTTTAAACAGTGCCATTTTGTCAAAAATTATTTTATCAAAAAATCCGTACGTGCAACTAAAACTACGTTCATATACTTTAAATCACAATTTAAAAAATTTATTTTAGAGCTCCCGTTCAGATGCAGCACGAGCGCCTGTGCACCCATGTTTTTTCAGACGAGGTGCACATCAATCACCATAGTTATTATAAATATGAATATTATTTTATGAAATTTTTTTTGTAACATAATATAAGTATGTACTTTTAATATATATAGTTTATAAATTAAACAAACTATTAGATAATGAAAAAAAAATTCACGAAAATAGCCTTTTTTTCGGCCGTCACCCTGGTGTTCCCCCTTAAAGGAGGGGTATAAATTATCGTAAAGACTTTATGATTAAAACTTTCGTCTTAAATTTTCTTCGTGACCTATATAAATATACATACATAACTCTATACTTTTTTTCCATATTGCTAATCGCCGCATGATATGTTAGCATTATTATTTTACAATTTTATAATTTAGGATAAAAAAAACGTTGTTTTTTTAAAATCATTTCACAAACTATAAAAATATATATATATATTATTAAACAACAATAGCGAAAAATAAATTGTCTCGAGAGAAGCGCGTTAAATTAATTTTTTCAAAGTTTTTTTTATCTCAATTTCATTATTTACGTATATAGTCTAAATCAGAAATGACTCGGCATTGTTTAAATCGGAAAGGACAAGTAGACACGCCGGATAGAATACCTTAATCGCGACCATGTCCCGCTTCACCTCGCTGACTTCGCTCTGACACGACTCTACGCTCTTCGTGAGTTCCTGCAGCTGCGTGCGGATCTCGCAGAGAGCGACGGTGGTCTCCAGCTGGCGGTCACCCCGCTGCAGCTCGTCCAGCTTGGCACTCAAGTTCATACTCATAACGCTGACCTGTTTCTGCAGACTGCCCCCACACACATAATACCCGTGTGAATCTCGCTGATTCGTACGGGAGAGCGGATCGACAACATTGTCGAGCACACTGACTAGGACGATCAAGGCTAGAGTCTATTTTTTTTTTTTGGCCTAGGTCTTTAAATAATTCCAACTACCTCCGCGCTTAACTGCCGAGCCTCTCCGCCTGCGAGACCGTTTCAGCGCACGGCGCGCGTTCTCGCGTTCTCGCGCATTATGCGTGCACAATATTTATATCGCGCGGCACACCGTCGTGTGGCACACATAAGGTATGCGAATACAGAGTTATGCGACATAGCGAAGAATTAAAAAAAACGATTCAACAGGTGCAAAGTGTGGAAAACACCTTCACCCCCGGGAGCTCGAAAGCGCGGCGAGCCAGCGTTAGCTCGGCAGCCATGGGAACGTTGGGTAGATGTTATGTAATATATACGAATAGCACGTGAACAGATAGATATATATACGTATATACAATCGGCTCTCTCTCTATACAGTATATATTTATGTAGTAAATATATGTCAAGAGTTGCAGAAAACAACAGCAGACAAAATACAAAACGCCACTAAAAGCACGTCTAAAGGTGTGTGTGGTGAGTGTGAGGGGTGACAGACACTACAGTGGTATAATATATATATAATATAGTATATAAATATATATTCTTTGCAGCTGTGCACATATTAGATGGAAGTTTGTGAATTCGCGTGTGTGTAGATAGATATAACGTGCCTTAACGTGATATAACGTTTGCTGCAAGAAAAAACGTCGAAATGATATTTTTCGTCCATAAAGTCTAGGATCTCGCGAACCTAACCATATCGCATTTCAATCTTTTCTTTTCTTTTCTTCTTACGTGTATGAAATTATTTCTATGGTCACACGATGCGGGAATGTGCAAGTGAATGAAAATGGCTGATATCTCGTACGCACTCTATGTATGTAATACACGCATATGCGACTACGAAGGATCATGAGACTTTCGAACGACTCGGTGAATTGGCAAACTCATCGATCGATGTGCACAGCCAAGCAGAAAGGGTGACAGAAGATGAGAATACAATAGAAAGAGAGAAAGAGATAGCTTTTTTTCTAAATTGTGTGATATGAGTGACAGGTGAATAGCAGAAATGAATGAGCGCATGATTCGAAGACGGCGGGGTAGATGAGACAGAAAGATACAGGAAGAAGATAGAGGGTTGACGGGCAGATAGACATAGAGAGAGACGGAGATGTGTACACTTATCAAACCAAGGATCGCACCACTTGCCTATTCAAACGAATGGAAAACAATGAGTCCGAGAGATTAAGAGAAAAGATCGGGGAACCGAGGAGCTAAGCATCCAAGAGTCTATCGTAGAGATGCATTCAGGGACGTGTGCACTTAGGGATGTCTATGCATTCAAAGATCGAGGACGTTACTTGACCATTTCATCATGTTTCGGAAGAAGCACAACATAAAAGTGGTACAAAACTATTTTTTGATACGTGTACATAGAGACAAAGAGAAGAAAGAGGGAGAGAAAAAATTTAAAAAAAATAGAGAGAGAGAGAAAAAGAGAGAGAGAGAGCAGTGATGATGTTGTCATGTACCTGGGAGGTAGGGAGACCATGGCTGTGTTCCGAAACTACAGTAGCCTCTATGCCTCCCCACTCACTCCTCTTGATTCAGTATTTCGTCTTATTCTCACAGAGATCTATTTGTTCTTTGCTTTGTTCACGACATATGTACGTACGTTGGATTATCCACCAAATCCAATCAATTGACTCTGAACTGCTTGTTGTCAAGTGGTTGTCCACAACCAAAGGTGGAGGGTAACGTGTACACGGCGAGAGGGGGTATAAGGCCCGACGACGCCTGCCTCCTCTCTTATCTCACTCACTCTGTAAAACTTTACCTAGTTTGGAAACACAGTCGTGGTTCAGTCAAAAAATCATGTCATAATGATATATTCGCTCGCGCATTTTTGTAATCGTGACGTCCAATCCACTTTCTAATTTAAAAAAAAAAAGAAAGAAGAGAGATCAAGACGGAGGCGTCACGTGTGAAGGAAAAAACGCTTTCACACATCGCAACATGCGACGCACCGCCAGCTTACTCACCCGTGCCTAGCCGCCCGCGTCCACAAGCGAGCTTGCACAATTTGAATTGCCCATCACTTTATGCGGAACGAACAGTCGGCAAAAATAATTTACAAAAATCAGCATGATCTCATGAGAGTGATAAAGAGTACTGGACACGCACACAAATAAGTCACAGCGATGGCACATCGAGCAACAAGTACCAAGTGTGTCGTCTTACGAGGATGTCAATGGCACGCGGCCCTCGTGAGGGGAATCGTGCTTATGTGATATTATTTGTGTCACACAAAAGTGAGCAATAAGGTACTTCCAACGTAGGTGATAGTGATACCACAAATTTAATTTTACATATTAACAAATATCCTAAAGAGAAATTGCCTTTACTTTTCTCACAAATATCTTTCGATTGTGACAGCGTAATAAAATTTTTCTCGCAATCGCGATTTCTAATGGTTCTTTTGCCGATAGCGGTGTAATTGATAGAATTTCATTGTGAATCGTCTCGCTTGGAATCTAATTGTTTCCGTACAAATCGTATAAACCGGATACACCATTACCAGTTCCCCGGTTTTCCTTTATTCTCCGTGCAATGCTACTGCGGGCTTATTTGTGCACCTGACTTTGAGAGGGAGACATGATTTCGAATGGAATGAGCAATCAGTGGTAAGCCTGCGAGCGCCGCAGCCAAAAAGTTCGAGTAATCATAACAACAGTATCGGTAGTGTCTGATTATCGATTGTTAATGAGACCGAGAGTGTGTAGTATATATGTACAAGAATAGGTTTAAGAGCGAGTGTGAATTATGTATATATGATAAATGGCATGGCACAAAGCCTTGCATTGCATTCTCGGATACATAGAGATCTATATAAGATAAGCGGGGAAGACGTCCGTTTTTTTTTCTTCTTTTTTCCTTTTTCTTTCTCTTTTTTTTTTTTTTCTTTTTACCTTTGTTGTTACACATAATTGTCATAAAGTAAAGGCACCGCCACTTAGGCCGGAATTACCTGGATGCATTTGCAACACAGTTAGGTTCTCGAGAGAAGAATTTATAAAATGGTCGTGAGGTCGTTTTCGTCAGTAGCTTATATGATCGATAAGTAAGTGTTATTAACTCGGGGGTGAACACTTTAGAACATAGCTCATTGTCAGATAAAAGAGAGCGCGCGAGGAGTGTCCTCGTGATTGGTATGCGAGTCTCGAGAGCTGATACACGCTGTTCTACCGATGGTTACTAAGCTAAGTTACTTGTGAGAGATTCAAAGGACCAAGTCTGTCGTGACTGTTAACATTAGCACGATGGAGCCCCCATTACGCGAACCGACAAACGAGCATGTTAGAATTCTGTAACAATGAACGAGAACTTCTGAAACGTAGAAGAACAACAATTGGCTGTAGTTTATTCTTTTATTTTTTTGTTTTTGTTTCGACTCTCTCATGTGTATAGAATTGTTCACGATATTTTTCTTAATTATTATTATTATTATCACATTACGATTCTTTCCTCTAATTGATTGAACAGCGAATGCAACGGATCTAAATTTAAAAACGGTCTTATCTTTAGTTAAAATAGTATTAGAAGTGAAATAGGTCGAGAATAAATCGTTCGGAAGTTGAATGCTCGAATAATGGCGACTCTATCATGCCACATGAAATTTAAACATAGGTATAGAGACTAAAAAAACCTTCTACGCTTCACTCGTCATGGAAAGAGTAAAGTATGGTTTCTATACAAGACCCTGAAAAAAGAGGTCACTACTAATGTGAAAGTCAATACAGAATTCTAAGGCTAGACTATGTTAGAATAATATTTCAAATATAAATTCTCGAATATTCGCTCGTAATGTTTGCCAAGTTAATCTTCCATAGTCCCCGTTGAAGAAGAAAAGAGATTACGACGCCGCAAACTCAATTTCCTTAATTTCGCGTGTTATTGCAGAATTACATCTGGACGTAGAAGCTTAACGTTTCAGCTGACACGAACAATGCGAACATCGGTGAGCTTTTAGCCGTTTGATTTTAATTCAAATAATTTTTATAACCGGGATGTTTTTTTTTTATTTTACAAAAATAAAAAAAATGAAATCGCGAACAGTTTGCAACGTTACGGCCGCCGACAAGAGTTCGCGAAGTTGGCACAGATCTTTCGCGAGCTTTTATCGGCGCCGCCCAACGTTCAACAATCCAGATAATTCTTGAAGACATCGGTGGCGACGCCAATCGTCCTTGGATAACGTAATTTGTGTTTTGAGATAAAGGGTTGTTATGAAAGCCTTGTTGGTTTTTCGATAATGATTATGTCAAGCCCAAGGATGCTAAAGATCTAAGAAGCTCAGCAGCCGAGAACTAACTGCCGTATGAGCCCGGGAGAGTGATATAAATCAGCAATAACAAGCCAGAAATAATTTTATGCATTTTTTTTTTGGTGTAGCATAAATCTTTCAATCTTCCCTTTTCATGGTCGTAAAAAAGCGGTGTGACAAGATAATTGTACATCTGTACAAGATATTTGTGCATTATCATCTGATAGATTCTCTCATCGCCGACGAGAAATAATACATAATTATCTCGTTCCGTTCACAACGGCTCGTATCGCTACGATAATTCTAGCGGGAGATCAACAAAACTTCGACAACAACTCTTCCTCTTGGCATTAGTGTGGCACAGAAGTTGTCTCGATAAACGCGATAACCGGTAACGTAGAGTTGGCGCGGTAGTGTAGTGGTGTACACCGATTTTTAGAGGGGGTGAGAAAGGGGACGAAGAGAGTGTGAGAGACTCGTCATCGTCTGCGTGTGGAGCACGCAGCGCGGGTGGAACGTACGTGTGTAACGTACCTTACAAGCAACTCCCGTAGAGTGGCTTCATCGTCTTCCTGTACCTCTTCCTGCGTCTCATTACTGAACGAGCCGCGGCTGGGGTGATGATGGCGGTGCTGTCTGCCGGTCGTCCTGCCGCCGGGTGGATACTGGCTGTGCAGCCCGTGATGATGGTGATGGTAGTGCGCCGCCGAGGCGTTGGTGCTGGCCGAGTGCAAGTACCGGGCGACGGTGGTCTGGCTCGCTCGCCCCCTGGTCAGCTTGAGGCCGGTTGCCGCAGGAGGCGGCAGTACGGCGCCTGTACCGGGCTCCACGTGACTCCTGCGCGCGACATACTGCTGCTCCTCCACCCTGCTGATGACGATGTCCTGCTGGCGCGCCCGATCCGACGACGGCCTCCGACCGGCCGATCCGCTCCGCGATCTCGCGTCACCGCCGCCGCCGCTCGCGCCCAACCGGCCGCCGCTCCTGCTGCGTGTCCTGCTACGGGGGACGGTGCCACCCCTGGCGACGATCTCCTCCCGATCCGAGTGGCTGCTCCACCAGCCGCTGCTACCTCCAACCTGAGCCCCGAAATCGAGACTCCCCCTGCTGCCGGCGACGTTCTCCTCCTCCTCCTCCTCCTCTTCCACCTCCCTCTGCCCGGCACCAGCCGGCCGGTCCGTATCCTGGGACCCGGAGAGGCCCGGGATCTCCTCGTAGAGACACTCCGAATCCTGATCCGTCGACACTGTCGCGCTCTGCCACAACTGGTTTATTGGCTTGAAGCCGCGTGAATCGGCCATCGTTCAAGCTGCGTCCAAAGACAGACACGGAAGCCACGGTACAGAGCAGTCCTCGTTCTCGCGCTCTTCTTCCTATCGTTTCGTTTCGGACACTTGCGCGTCCGATGCGATAATTAACGACATTTCGCAGTGACGCTTGTCCTCGATTATTCGGAACCGTAGTAGAACAGCTTTCTACAGTAATGATACGGAACCAATAAAGTGCGCGATACAGCGAAAAATAATATCGCGTATCGTGACAGCATTATTGCAAAATGTATGGTGGAATGCAATTCGTGCGATATGATATAAAACATCTTGTGATGTGTCAGGTGGCGATTCGAATCGATAATCGGCGAGATGCCGATTGCGATCGGCATTGCGCAATCGGCTCTCCGCAAAATTAAACCTCATAAAGATCTAATGCCGGTGCCACGCGTACTAATTAAAACAAAAGAGATTTTAGCAAGTACACGAGCCCGGTGTCCGCCTGATGGCGGACGGCGCGAGGAAATAATTCACGGGGAGTTTACCCGCGACGCGCATACAAAATGCTGCAACTTGCGGGTAACTTTTGCCTGTGTTACTAATAATATGAGACGTCGGGAGGAGTAAGGATAACTGAAATAATGGTGTTTGTCTTCCAAGTACGATCCCGACGGAGCGGAAGTTGTCCCACCCGCGGGATGCCGACGAGGGGAGGGGTGCAAACAAACTAAACTTATCACATTCGGACGGCCGCTAACTGACTTGCGGTGACGAGACGGGAATTGTGAATGGCATCATCGTGAATTGCGGACCGTCGCTTCGAGAATGCACCGCAACAATTAACCCTAATGTGCGCGGTTTTTTTTTTTGTTAGCGTTTTCGTCACACGCTGCGTGTAACAGCGAGCCTCGCTGATCTGGTGATAAGGTTGTTTCGAGAGAAATAAGCAGTATGATTGATAATATCCGGCCGTTGTGAGCAAAACAATTCCAAATTCCGAGCAATTTGCTATAATAGTTTGAAAAATGTACAAATTTTGCGAACAGTGATAAGAAAAGCGGAAGAATTATTGTATAACGTATGCAGGAGGCTGCTACAGTGATGGAAGTTTGTAATTTGTAAGATCCACTTTGCAGGGCTTTCAGGCGGACAGAATTTCATATTTAAAGAGAACAAATTACGGACTTACATAGTCTCCGCTCATGCTGCGAGCCCTCCAAATATAATGTCGTGGCGTTAGCATATTTTTAATAGTAACGCAAAAATAACTCTGTACTTGATATATAAAAAAATTCTCCAAGATACCATCTTTAATCTTGCAATTCGTTCGCCGCAATTGTTTTGCCCACAATGACCAATCTACGTATCGTACGCGAAGTACGGATCTTTCTCTCTCCGAAACAGATCATCTATCATAAATGAAGAAATACAAACTCACCTTAAAGAATTCGCAAGCCATTGTGCCCGGCGATGATATATCACGCCACGACGTTTCGTCTCGCACCTGCTCGCCCCAACGACGAAGAAAGGAATCCGTGGATCCGATCTATTGGCTGTCGAATATCGCTTCGCGTCGCAAGGAAAGACAGCGAAACAACACAAGGGGGGGAATAGATGTAAACACACAGATCACGGACACGGACGTCAAATGAATTGTACGGCGGGATTTCCACCGCGTTGTACAAGCACTAAAGTATCACGTTTTCAGAGGGGCCTCTTCCCTCCGATCGATTGGGCTTGTATTGAACTCACAATCAGTACGAGACGGCGAGTGCTAAGAACCTGCAACAAACGAAGAAATCGTTAGTTTCACCGGGCATTCGAGATAATCGCCGAAAGTGCCGTCGATTAAACCGCGATAGCGAAAATCCGATAATTAGATTGTGTCTATTATCGGTATCTTTTTACATAATTTAGATGCTCGGGGTTTGCAACATGACCACTCACATACAAAATAAATATACATGGTCAACTTTTATCTAAGAGTTTCAATGTCAGCGATAATAAAAGAATGCCGTTGTCAAACCGTTGCCTGCCGAACCTTGCTCAACACGATAGTCAGAAATGATATCGCCGTTTTTTTGATAGGGCACTAAAATGAGATACGAATTGTTATCTAAAGTCTAATTAGAATTTCTTGAAACATTAACTGACGCACGTCAACGAATACACGTTTGCTTTTCACCGATGTTTTATAACTACTCTTATTAAATCAACTTTTTGTAAATCTAAAAACTTAACGTTAGAAATCATTGTGTGACAAGAAGATTGCACGCAACACGCTCCTGGCCATTGCGAAACTTCCTATCCAACTTCCATGAAACGTGACTAAAACGTGACTAGACCGTTAAGTTACGAGATAAAGGATAAGAATTACATTATAAATTACATCGAGCAGCCTCAGCTAATCATTCCACTTATATCTCATTTGTGACTCTCTCTTGTCTCTCGCAATGATGATAAGCCGTAGCAAATATCTGTGTAAAGTTTGACAATAATCACGTTTCAGATTTCTAATTGTCGATGGATCTTGCACATCACTCGTAAATATTTGCCAATGTTTTAAAATTGTATGTTCAAAAATTTTTCGAACCCGAAAGATCTCCATCACCCGGATTGAAATTCATTACTACGTAAACAGTGCCGCTCTAATTTTCGGGTCATGCGAGAAGCACTCGCGCTTGTTGACAAACGTCGACCGAGAATGTACGATTTTCGATACGGCTTTATCGCCAGTATGTCGGTGTCAAGTCTCGGTTCTACATCGCGTCGGCTCTCAACTTGCTTGGCATCTTTCGTCGTCGCTATGAATATTGTACCGGGCCATCGCGTTACGCTTTAACACAACCATGAATAACCGAATCGATCGAGCGAGGCGCGATATTCCTTAAGAATACGAAATTGGTGCCCGATATTTTCTTCCAAAGAAATACGTGCCTTTAAATTTTTTTTAACGATAACTAACACACGTGTGTAAATAATGAGAAAGCGCGCTGGCATGTGTTCGTTACTACAAATGGCAACGTGATAATTATCTCGCAATTTTGCGATAAAGACTCACGAATCACTCACCGGTTAAAGTTTTTTAACCATATTAAGCTTTTTAGTCATACAAAACTTTCCAGCATAGTGTTGTATGATTTTACGGAGAATAACGTGGTAAACCTGTCATTCAATCAATTGCATGCAATAACATGAAGATTGTTATCTTTCCTTGCTTACGTAATTAATTACTCATCTCTCTGCGGTTCAAACGGTATATATCCATTTTGAAAGGAGGGCGATATCAGAAAAATAATCGATATTAACATACTTGTCAGCAATCAAAACATTAAAACTGTTTAATGTTTTGTGATATCACGTCTTTATCACATCGCTACTAAAAGCATGTAAGAATGTTGATTTTTAGATTGAGGTGATAAAGTCAATTTGCAACATTACATTGCATAAATAAGTTTTCCTTAAACAGAATTTGTTTACGCGTAGAATATTTTACAATGTCTTTATCTATTATATATTCTCTATTGTTAATTAAAATCTGTTCTTATTTTGATGGTAATATTGTTATCTTTTGCATAGAATTCTGCAAGTTTTAATTTGAAAATATTTTAGAATTTGTTACTTTAGTTATAAGTAAAGACTTTTCTATTTAAAGCGTTTTAAAACTACTGAAACATGTAGAAATCTGTTAGTGCAAGATCTGGAGGATAAGAAAAGATTAAGATAAAATTGATCATAAAAGTATTAAAATTTTGTTCTAGATAATTTTTGCTGTGTGAGATTTTGCACGCAATAAAATGACACTCTTTCAAATATTCCATTTTAAGGATTAATTACCAAATAAATGTAAAAATCATGAGATTACATTAGTAATTTGATATTCTTAGAAAAAATAATTATTATTACCTGCAATGGAATTTATTATATTTATGAATCAATATAATTGATAATAATGATGTCAACAATTATTATTACAAAATAGATGACGAATGTGCTTTACTCGTGCATTTATATAATTATTGAAATATCAAATAGTGTTTCTAAAGCGTCGTGACCTATTGAGTTTATTCATGCGATAAAATATATAAATACTCGTATAGGCATAGCGTATGTGGCACGTATTTTTTTTTGCTATTAATATTAGATCAATCGATATCAAGATTACAAGTGCGTATAATTAAAAATTGATTTAAAAATAAATATTTCTTTCTATGAAATCTTCAGCGGCGTCGGGC